AAAGTTAAATTTTCATTACCCTTAATTTTGGGCCGCTCAGTCCAAAGGAATGAATTAGATGTTGCATAAATAGGCACAAAAGTCCCCTACCCTCACATGATTTTATTGCAGTGCTCAAAGACCTGCATATTCTGGGCTTGTATCAGTATTTGTTTGCATACGTTTCATATTGGAGTAATTCCACCAGCTGGTTTATATCAGGTATGTGAGAGCCCAGAATTGAAAGGTTCAGTGTCCTAAATAGTGGGTGAGGCTGTGCTTAAACTTCTAAACTATGAAAATTAACTGTGATTGGGGATAGACATACAAGGGAAAAACAAACAGCTGTTTCTTGGTCCTATTGGTATGAATATTAGGGGTCTGGGTCATAACATTTGAACCCATAGAACTGCTCCTACATCTTTCCATTGGATGTGCCTGTTTTGTTTCTACTCAGTATTATCCCTCACGTGTACCCCACCTACCTGCATCACCAGCAACCATGTCCCCTAGAGTCAGCTTGTACTTGTCAGACTCTCCTGAAATCTTGAATGAGCTGTACTTAGCAAAAGTCTTGTGGTTTTCAAAGTCTTCGAGGTCGATGCGCAGCTCATTGGTACCTGTTGAGCACAGGAGCAATGTAAAAATGCTGGTGACTTCCATTCCCATTTGCTCACTCTTGGGTTTCTTCTGACCCTTACCCATCCAGACAAGAAATATGCACTGAACCCTCAGGAGTTCAGCCTGGGATGCTTTTATTTACATAGTTTCCATCCTCCCTCTTGACTTTCCATTGGCAAAGGAAACCCAAAGAGGAAACAAGAACCAGTAGCAATGGAGGCTTTTACTATTTTTGGCTCCCAGAATCAGCACCTCTGGAGAGTGAAGGCAACACCAGCAACTGAATAGAGGTCTGGGCATTTCGCTGTCTTGCCTGGTGGAAACTAATCATACAGACAGTGATCTTGTACATCTCGCTGGGCACAGCTACATAAGACGCTTAATGCACAGTTGGCTAATTGGCTGTGCATTATGCCTCACAGCAAAAAATGTGCTATTATGCTACTGTGCAATAGTATGAGTCTACTGCTCATTAACCATCACGAAAAAGGTTTACTAATGTGCAGTAGAACAGCCTACTGTGCATTTATGTAGTACTTCCTTTTGCAAGTACTGAATGTAATGTGCAGTAGGCACTGCTCATTAATGAATTTCTAGATGCACCCAGTGTTAGCTACTGTGGGTCAGGGACAGATTTTATAAAAACTTGGGTTTGGGATATTTGTTATGAATGTACAAATCTTTATGGGGAGCCAACCTTTGCCTGGTTTCCTGAGTGTTGCATGGGTCTCTGGATTGCATGCTGCACTTGGAAAAATTGTGCTGTAAGAAACAGCTAGTGGGAATGGAGCAGCCTCTTCAATACTAAAGGTTTTAAATGACAGGTCCAGTGAGCACTGGATTGTATGCCCTATCTGGGCTCTGATCCCAGCTCCGTCCCAAGCCTGCTGTATAAAATTGGGCAAGCTAAGACACTTCTCTGTGCCTTCAATTAAGTGCAATGAGACTTGTCCACCTTTGTAAAGCACTTTGAGATCTGCAAGTGGAAGATCACTGTGCTCTTGCTACTAGAAGGGCTACAAACTCCTCTGAGCCAGGTTACAAGGGAAGGGTTGAGTAGGATAAAGAAAAGTTGAGGACTCTTACCAAGTGATGTCAGCAGGTGAATGTTGTCATTTCCCAGCCAGAAGTCTGTCAGCCTGCTGCCAAAGCCTTTCTGGTATGAATTCCAGTCCCGAAAAAAATCCACTGAATCATCCACCCGTTTCTGGAAAACCTTCAATACAACAAGACGGACTCAGGTGAGAAGCTGGTTGCATTCATCTTATATCTGTGTAAACAGCAGCTCCGTCCCTCTGATGCCAATTTTCCTAGCAAAAGTTGCCCTTTAGCTGCAGGGTAGTGGGAATCAGAATACACTAAACCCCATATTTTAACTTCCTTTCAAACCACACTTTTAATTGCCACTGCCAAACTGTGAGTCTGTCAACTGGTCAAAATCCTGAGGAGGGGTTTGGGCTGTTTGGGGTTTTTTTTTAACTCTTTTCTGACTCAGTTGTATTCTAGTTTTCTTAACAGGAGTGAAAACTGAATAAGGTTAACTTCCTTTGCAGAGAAACAGACCTGTCTTCTACAAATTTACAGAACACAGGTGGAGAGAGAAGACCCAGTTTGAGACTGGATATTGTTTGCATGAGAGTGTCTGATAAGTTTTATCACATTATTTTCTCACTTACAATCCACCCACCACCATCTGTATGCATGTCACACATTACAGTCATGGCCTTGCAGTCCTGGGGGTAGATGGTGTACCAGCCACTCAGCACGTATCCTCTGGCTAACAGCTCCCTGCAATTCTTCGCACCTGGGCAAAAGAAGAATGAAAGAATCTAGGCTGGTGGTTCCTGACACTGTTAGACTATTGAACTCAGAAAATCCTGCCTCTTAGTTTTCACTCTTTTTTTTTTTCTCAATTCCAAAAAAATAATCAGGCAATTCTTTTATTGCAAAAACCAGAAATGACCACAAGTAGGAATGTTTTTGACCCTATGGATCTCTGGGTTTATCTTGTGAATCATGTTTGTATATCTAATAGGGCTCACACTGTAAGGCACCTGTTGCTTTATTTAAAGGATCTTAAGGCATTCCAGGGGGCCACAGCGCTCTGGTTGAGAAGAGCTGCTGTGGCCTATACTAGAGATGAATAGTTTGAATGAGTCAAAAGCATGGTATTCTGATGCCTGACTGTCTGGAGACTTATGCCTGGATTTCTGTCATTACAAAGTAAAAAGGCATGTTTGAGCAGGATGAACATAACTAGATTTTATCCATAGAGAAAAGTTTTAAAAGATGGTAAAACAAATTTTGCAATGTTAATGGAAGTGAATTCCTCGGCCCTTGACTGCAAACTGCATGAGTCAATTTATAAAATGGGCCCCGCTGTTTTGGTAACTAACTGCTGTGACGGAGGTAGCCTGTGGCTGTTCAGGTAGTGTCCTGTGAGTGCCTGGGCTGACCAGTGCTGATTTAAGGCTACCCAGATCTGGCCACATTCCTATAGCAGTAGCTGTGTTACAGATCTTATAATCAAGTCCCCCTCTCACAAAAATTACATCAGATCCGAGGGGCTTCTGCAAAATGTTCAGTTTCTGTCAAAATTCTTTTGATGGGTCTCTGCCCTGTGACACAAGGTCCTTGGAGCAAGATAAGGGAACATCCATCTCATGCTCACCTTCCTTACAGAGAATGTCATCCAGCTTCTTCCCACCTGTGCAGGAAACAAACTCAAAATAAACAGATTGAAAGCTGGAAAAAAACTGTGTGTTCTAAGTAGCTGTTTAGTTCCAGCTGTAATTATGACAGCACAAATATTTTACAGGAGCAATACATATTAAATTACAAAAAGAGCAGGGTAACAGCTCTATAGAAGGAAGAGCAGCTCTAGAAGGAAGCAGCATCTTCTCAAAGGTACACTGAAAAAAAAATGTTTAAATACAAGATTGACACATTAGGACTTCATTTTCCTTTTTGCTCCAGTAATATAAAGCAACTGTAGAGTGAGTGCAAGTGTAATTTTACTCCCATGTGAAGGCCCCTGTAGGCTGCCAGGATAGTGTAAAGTCGCCTTGGAACAATGATCAGGAGCCAAGGAGAGTGGGGGTTTTACTTGGATCCACACCTGACCCAACATTCAAGGACCATATACAAGCATCAGAGGAGCCATGCAAAATCCCAAGCATACAGCAAAAAATGCTTCCTTGGGCTTTATTGTAAGTGGGTGACCAGTAACCTTTCTTTGGCATCATATAAAACGTAAGTGTAGGAATAGCCTTCTACAGTTACATGCTCTCTCAAGCATGGCGTTTCACCTTCCGGTCCAATGAAGCCAGGTTCACCTCTTTCTCCTGCATCCAAAAAGAAAGACAGAAATGGAACAAGGTTGAGTACCTGCTGCCTGGATTCCCCAAGCACCATTCTCCCTACAGGCACTGCCTGCTCCTGGGGCAGCACAGAGGCTTCTCACGAGGGGATCTCCAGGAGGTGTTGTGCATTTGGGAGATCTGACACCACCCAGATCTCAGGGAACAAACACAGCTGCTCCCCCATAGCTGAACATGACTCTGCACACACTCCTCTGTTACTGCCTCCTCCTGTCAAATGATACAGACAGGCAGGGAGGCCATAGCCCCACCCCATACCCTTGGGGGAGGTTTGCCCCTGCAGTATCTCTGACACTATACCAATCTTCTGTTTCCTGCATGGAAGCTTGAGAAGTGGGATACTCCCTCCCTGCCTACCACAGATCCAATCCTCGGGTAATGGGCACAATGGAGGTGAGAAGTAATCCAAGCCCAAGTTCAGAGCGATGTGCAAAGAGATGTACCCATTTACTGGCATGTCACTGGTAAGGCTTCCAACTCAGGCCTTAACTGCATCCCCATCGTTATGTCTGGAACTAGCATTGGTACAGTTCTGCCAGTACTAACCACAGCATAAACCCTGTTGCAAATAGTGTGCAACTGTTTCATAGCACCATGCTAGAAACAGCTGATCTGTGTCCCTACAACTGCTGTCACCTTTAGGGGGGCTCCCTTGTGCCAATTTTTTCAGTGGAGAATTACTCTCAGGGATATTAAGTGAGTGAAAGTCTAGGGGTGCATACAGATGTTTGGGGAGGTTAGATTGACTTAAAAATAGCCACGTCATCTAAGGTAAGTCAGGATGAGGGGACTATCTGTTGGAGGATTGGTGTGGGGAGGCAGGGTCTCCAGGAGTGGGCAGAGGAATCGGGGGGTGGGGGGCATTGCTGGGATCTGGGAGGGTTTGGTGGGATTAGGGGGGTTTGCAGGAGAGGTTGGAGGGATGGGGTTCTCTTGCCCCCTACCCCATGAGACCAGGGGCTATTTTTAGCCCACCGACCCCCACCCCCAGATGAACAACCCCCTCCATCCTGCCCACTCTAGCCCACACTGGGACTTGCTTGGTTTCCATCTCCGGCAAACGCTGGCAAAACTATCACTGGGAGTAGCTTGTGGGATGGGGGTTTAGTGGGCGGTGGGTTGCTGTCTGATTGGTCTGTTGTGAGGGTTGCCCATCTCTTAATGGGGGGGAGGGGCCAGGGGATAAAAATAGCCCCGTGCCACGGTGCAGGTAAGACAGTGCAGCCCTGAGGCTGGGGCCCCCAGCTGGGCTTTGGCTGCTCTGAGACTGTACAGAAGTTCAGGACAGTTGCATTGATCTAAAAAATGGTGAACCTCATCTAAGTTAGACTACCTCAGAGGCAGGGTTAACTTAGATTGGGTCAGCCATTTCTAGACCAATTTTACTGTTCTGAACTTGTATACAGTTTGCACTTAGATCCACCTAAGTACTGTATGATCCACACCTTGGTGAACGAAGTTAGATTGGGTGGCCATTTTTAACATAATCTAAACTTCCACTCACCTCCCCGAATGTCTGTACTTTACTTAAGTGATGGGGCTGGTTGTTGTGTGAATTACACAAGTGCCATTCAGTACTTTACCTTTCTCCCCTTGTGGTCCTGGAGGTCCCGGTGCTCCTCGAGATCCCGTAACACCTACAGCCACAAAAGATTTGGAATAAAAATGTAAGGTGCAGGTTGGGAATATTTTACAGGTAAGTTCAGAAGATGGGGAATATGTTAAAACTGCTCCCTACCCGAAATGAGGGTTAGATTTGTCTTATGCCTGCTGTTACAACTCTTCACTTAAATAAACATATGCTGAATCTTTGGGATTTCCTCCCAGCTACACATGCACGGCCAGATATTTTGATCTTTAGCTGTTGCTAAAGCCAAGGTCTTACCAACAGCTCAGATTTGTAAGTGTGGCTATCACTCGGCTTTCAAACAAAACGGCAAGGGAGCCAAATGAGTGCCATCCCTCAGCCTGGGCATCTTGGGTTAATTGAGCTTTTCAATCCAAGATCAACAGAGTTGTAGAGGGCCCATTCTGCCCATCTGCAGCGATAAGTCAGTCATTGCAGAACCCCGCAGAGAAGCGCACAGCACTTGCATAGTTCTCTACATCTTCAGAGGGATTTACAAACATTACCAGAGCCTGACAGCTCCCTGTGATGTGAGATCACTCGCCAGGACTGACCAAAAACTGGAAACCCAGTTTCCTGAAATATACTTGAAATTTCTAGTGCTTTCTTTTCTAAGGATTCAGAAAGGGAAAATTGTTTATTTAAAAAAAATCACAACATTTTGAATTCTTATTTTCCAGTTTCCCTTCCTTTTCTGTTTTTAATTTCCTTGTCAGCCTTAATGGTCATTCCTTGTCCCATTTTCCCATTTCCTTTTCCTTTGTGTCATTTCTGAAAAATTAAAGTGGAAAAATCCCTCACATGTGAAAAGGTTCCAGTGTTACAGATTTCCCATTCTTCCTTTTACCACCTTGTGGCATATCTTAAGTTGAGGAGTTTTTGAGATGTTAATAATTGAAGAAAAACTGAAAATTCAGGATAGATAAAAATTATTGTAGTATATCCTTGCTGGGGTCATTTGAGCCCAGTACTCTTTCCTGCCATGGCAGGGGGTCGGACTCGATGATCTGCTCAGGTTCCTTCCGACCCTACAAACTATGAAACTGTCCTTTCCTAAAACAATGGAGTGGGGCTGGGAGGGAAGGAATAATTTTAACTTAGGAACCAAATCAATTTTTGAAGGCCAAAGTAGAGCAATGTAAATTAAGAAGTACGTTGTCATGTTAATCAATAATTTTCTATTGAAAAAATCAGTAGTTTTGTTGAAGGCAATATTTTCCTCTGAAAAATCGATTTCAGCCACTCTATAGATAATGTTATCGGTCCTGATTTTACACTAGGTTGAAATCAAGGTTTGGACCTACGTGATTTTTCCAAGTTTTCAGTGCAAGCCAGTGATGATCTGAGAGAGACCTCAGACATTGTCACTGACAACGGATCAAGAAGCTTGTGAACAGCATCTCTGTAGCTGTCCTAGGCTTCGCCCTGTAATACCACAATCACTGTCTTCTGCTTCAATGCTGTGCTACTGCCAGAGCAATGGACCAGAAGGTAGTGCTCTGTATTTCAGTCTGTGGTTGGTTTAGATGCTAAATCATTTTAGCGAGGGAAATGTTGTGTTTGCAACTTTCTGGCTGTGGGTTGTAGGATTCTCCTGAAGTACCCTTTCCCCTGAAATCTCAAAGGTAATGAATTAGAGATGGGATGTAGAAATATCCCAAGGCTCATACCTGGTGGTCCTGGGAAACCAGGAGGTCCCATGGGTCCTGTTAAAAAAAAAATAGGAAGAATTAGTGGAAACACTATGGACCTGATTCTGGAGTGGAAAATCAGGCTCTGTGGAGTCAGCTGTTTCTCAGATTCACAGTCCTGCTCTGGAGACTACATAGAGACACTGTGCAAGCAGGCGCACCAGAGCACAGCTCGCCTCCTACAGAGCCTGGGAAGCAGAGTCATTGTTCTGCCCACGCAGGGATTGCAGGAACTGTCCTCCTCTGTCCCTGTGGCTGGCCACCCTCAGTCACTCACTAGATTGCCCCAAAAACCAAAGCCCTCTGGAGTTGGTGCTGCCTTGTGCAAAGCCAGGCCTTTCACTCCCATCCACAGCAGTGAGAGGAGCTGGCCAGTCCTGCCAGTGCAGCATTTACTGGTTTCAGTTTGGACTTACACTACAGCATGTGAAAAGAGCCCATGCCCATTTGTACATCCACATTAGGAAAGATGAAATGGCCAGGCTGACAAGGCTGTCCCATTTGACTACTGTGCTGATTGAACAAAGCTCTCCTGTGCTTGCTAGCACTTTCCCTTATACCTTGGTGCCTCTTCTGCCACATGGGAACCTGGAGGATCCTTTAACTCTGCAGTCCTAAAAGAATGAGAAGTAATTATAGATTGTTTTACCTGGTGGTCCTGGAAAGCCTGGAGGCCCCGTGGGCCCTGGTGGTCCCCTGACCCCTGGAAAAATAAATGGCTCCAGATTAATTTTCTGCACGTGAACATAGGGAAGTATCTTTAGCAAGAACTGGGGGGGGGGGGGG